AATTTTGGATCAAAAGTGTATTTTGTGTTAAAACAAACCAGCTCTTAGTTTAGTAAGAGTAGACATGAACAGCCTGATATTTGAATCAGCTAAGAATATCAATATAAATTATTACTGAGCAGATGTGTTAATGTTTATTACTCAAGCAGAAATATAATTCCTTCTGCTTAAAAACACTCTGGTGGAAGTTAGAGAAGCAGCTTCAGCTTTATACTCAAAAGTGTAAAGGTAACATTTTTAAAACTTAACGTATCTTTAACGATAACAGGTTAGCGGCATCTAGCTTATTTAAAACAAACAAAACAAAAACTGCACATGTACGCATGTTGTTTTCTGGAGAATAACTTAAAAACTGTACCTGCATTGATAACAGGTGAAAAAGTGGTTTAGACGAACCTGTTTAAATGAGAAAATTGCATGTTTTCTTGGATGTTTGGGGTAGAAGGATGACCCTGAAAGTAAGATAAACACAGATTTAAACTGTTGATCACTCCCTTTTTTTTTTTGGAGCCTCTGGGTTGCAGGAATGGACTCAGACCTGGACCTCCAGAGGCACATAAAGACATTGCAACTGCTTCTTCACAGGTCTGTCTAAAAGATGGATCAGATAGCTGCAGCTGATCCAGGATGCTGCTGCCTGCATCCTCACTGGAACTAAGAAAGTGGAGTGCAAAACATTTTAATCTAAATAAGTATTTTTTTCTTAAAATAAGTGAATTTTTTTCTTGAATAAAGGGTGTAAGGGAGACAATTTGCCAATCGAAGGATACAATTTACATTTAAAATAAGAAAAAATTATTGCATTATCTTATTTCTAATGCATAATATCTAATATTATGAGTAAAAATACTCATTCCATTGGCGAATCATCTTATTTACCTGCTCAAATTAAAGGTAAATATGATTAATTTAAGACGTTTTCACTGATTAGATCATTTTTGCAGTGTCTTTCCACTGGCTTCCCATATATACACTCACTGGCCACTTTATTAGGTACACCTGTCCAACTGCTCGTTAACACTTAATTTCTAAGCAGCCAATCACATGGCGGCAACTCAGTGCATTTAGGCATGTAGACATGGTCAAGACAATCTCCGGCAGTTCAAACCGAGCATCAGTATGGGGAAGAAAGGTGATTTGAGTGACTTTGAAAGTGGCATGATTGTTGGTGCCAGAAGGGCTGGTCTGAGTATTTCAGAAACTGCTGATCTACTGGGATTTTCACGCACAACCATCTCTAGGGTTTACAGAGAATGGTCCGAAAAAGAAAAAACATCCAGTGAGCGGCAGTTCTGTGGGCGGAAATGCCTTGTTGATGCCAGAGGTCAGAGGAGAATGGCCAGACTGGTTGGAGCTGATAGAAGGGCAACAGTGACTCAAATAACCACCCGTTACAACCAAGGTGGGCAGAAGAGCATCTCTGAACGCACAGTACGTGGAACTTTGAGGCAGATGGGCTACAGCAGCAGAAGACCACACCGGGTGCCACTCCTTTCAGCTAAGAACAGGAAACTGAGGCTACAATTTGCACAAGCTCATGGAAATTGGACAATAGAAGATTGGAAAAACGTTGCCTGGTCTGATGAGTCTCGATTTCTGCTGCGACATTCGGATGGTAGGGTCAGAATTTGGCGTCTACAACATGAAAGCATGGATCCATCCTGCCTTGTATCAACGGTTCAGGCTGGTGGTGGTGGTGTCATGGTGTGGGGAATATTTTCTTGGCACTCTTTGGGCCCCTTGGTACCAATTGAGCATCGTTGCTACGCCAACGCCTACCTGAGTATTGTTGCTGACCATGTCCATCCCTTTATGACCACAATGTACCCAACTTCTGATGGCTACTTTCAGCAGGATAATGCGCCATGTCATAAAGCTGGAATCATCTCAGACTGGTTTCTTGAACATGACAATGAGTTCACTGTACTCAAATGGCCTCCACAGTCACCAGATCTCAATCCAATAGAGCATCTTTGGGATGTGGTGGAACGGGAGATTCGCATCATGGATGTGCAGCCGACAAATCTGCGGCAACTGTGTGATGCCATCATGTCAATATGGACCAAACTCCCTGAGGAATGCTTCCAGCACCTTGTTGAATCTATGCCACCAAGAATTGAGGCAGTTCTGAAGGCAAAAGGGGGTCCAACCCGTTACTAGCATGGGGTACCTAATAAAGTGGCCGGTGAGTGTACACTGCAAAAACGAGCTAGAAATAAGTACAAATTTCTCAAATTAAGTGTATTCACCCTTAATTTGAGAATGTAAATGTGATAGTTTGCCAATGGAATGAGTAATTTTACTCTTAAAATAAGATAATTAGATAATATGCACTTGAAATAAGACAATTTAATTGTGTTTTCTTATTTTAAGTGTAAATTGTCTTGTTCCATTGGCAAAATCTCTCTTTTACCTCCTCAATTCAAGAACAAATTATATTATTTTAAGAAAAAAATGACTTATCCAGATTTAGATTGTTTGCAGTGTAGAATAGGTTTTAGAATGCTTCCATTAGTCTGTAAATCATTGAATCAGATGTTCTGCAGGAGCCTGAGCAGAAACCTACCAGAAACACAGGAGAAAAAACACATTGACTTACTGCCTCCTACTGGCGAACTGCAGCAACTACGTATTTGTTTCTGAGTGATTTGAGTTGAACAGGTTTCATGTTTCTGATTGGAACATTTTTCCAGAAGTCAGTTTGGAAACCTTTCCATTATTTTCATCATATTTCTGTTCAATTTTGGATCAAAATTGTATTTTTTGTTAAAACAGTATCAGCTCTTAGTATAGTAAGAGTAAACATGAGCTTGAGGCTCCTTTAAAAGCTGCAGAACACTGAACAAAACATTCAGGAAGAAATTTAAATCCTTTAGAATTTACAGCAGCATCTGGTGGTGGAAGTTATTCTGGTCAAACTTTACTTCTATCAAAATCTATCAAGACAATAGCTAAAGTGAAAACAGAGATTATCAGGGTGAGAAGAACAAAACTCAAAATAACAAGTTTAATTTTTTATTATTCATTGGAAAAAACAACAATTCTAATTTTCTTACACACAAAAGTTATTCACACCCAACCAGAGGCAAACTCACACAGTTTCCTCTATGAATTAAATATAAAACACAAAACATCACAGTTTTTTCTTCCAAACCATACAGACCCTTCATTTTGAAACAAGTACACATTTGTTTTAAAAAGCAGAGAAACAGTCACATATAATCGGTGTGTCCCAGCAGGTAGTGTTAGTTTTATTATGGCTGCTCATTAAAAAAAAAAGTGACATTTTTTATAAGAGTGCCCTTTGAGTCTTTTTACCTGAATAACTGTTGGAAAGACAGCAGCTCATGAAATCCTGAAGTCATTTCTTCTGATGGGAATCAGGTAAACATTGTTTAAAGGGTAACTCACCCCCAAATCCTCTTTCTTCCCATTTTAAACATATATGCTGGGTCCATGAAGTAGAATTTTTAGGTCTGTGATATCCAGTCTATGCTGAATCCAGATAGTTTTCAGCCTCACAGATGTATATATATATATATATATATATATATATATATATATATATATATATATATATATATATATATATATATATATATATATATATATATATATATATATATATATTTTTTTTTTTTTTTTTTTATAATTTTTTATTTTTTTCTATACAAAGCTGATAAAAGACAACCGGTGGGAATCCAGATACAGTGAAGGGCAGGAGCCATTATGGTATGCTTGCTCCTGTGTCACGTGGCTCCAACATGACGTGTGATGTGGCTGTTGCAGTGGCGAGTGGATCATGCATCAGAAATGCGATCCTGGAAAACTCTAATCAACAGTAGTACTACTTAGTACATGCCAGATAACTTGTAATTGCTATTGTAGCCTCAACACAATTTCAAGCTAGCTGTTAGCATCTACAATCCAGCTAACTATAAAGCCTCATAGCTGTGAAAAACAAAAGAGCAACGGAAATGTTTCCCTGCACACCAGAGGTGCTTCAACCTGCCGCTGAAGGAGCTTTGCAGATCAGACACAATCCTGTAGTGGAGCTGGAAAAAACTACAGCTCAATTCAATCATCTACCGAGATGATGGTGGGAAATGATGCTGTCATTCCATTGGGCCATCTAGAAAATAGCTGATGCATCTGTGTTTTTGCAGATCCTAAGGAGCTCCCACTGCACTCAAAAATCCTCCAGAACCACTACAACCTGCCGTGGGCCTTGACATGAAGAGATGGGTGGTCATCATTCAAGTACTCAGAGGTGTGCCAACCTTTAACTGGAGGGATAGGGAAATGATGGAGTCCTTTGCATCTCTGGTACTAAAAGTCGAAACAAGGCAAATACGTCGTGCTCTGAGGAGGGAAATTCTCTCGTTATATGGATGAGTGAAAAACCAATTGTGCTTAACATGATCCCTGTGAGTCACAGAACAAAACGCATTTAGCATTTGGTCCTGGAGTTGGATTATTGGCCTGATGAGGCAGGGGAGTGCCGTTCCTTTGGTTGATAAAGCGTAGCGGTCCTGTACACGTCTGGCATACTGTAAGGTTGACTTGAGAAGCGTACAGTATATAGTCTAGGATTGTTTAGTACAAAAAGAAAATTCTAATATCACACTCTGTAGTTCTGAAAATCTAAGAGGTATTGAATGATATGCAACTGAAATTAAATGAAGTTACACTCAGCTCCCCTGTCTCCTACCAGGTGCATCTGCTAACACCAAATGTGTCAACATCCCACCTGGCTTTATGGCTCCTCCACTCAGAGTCACTTTAAGAATTAGTTTTTCGTTTGAATATTCCAGTAATAATTCAGTGTCCTTCTGGTGGAATCATGTAGCTCAGCGAGATCGTCCGTGGTGCTGATTAAGGTCGTCAGAAAGACTCTGTCACCGGACTCCTCTTGAAGATCTAATGGAAGCTGAAGACCTTGGAAACTGCTAGTGGGTTTATCTCCAAAATGAGGATTCTTTGAGAACTTCTTTTTATCCTTTGGTCAAAGTATCAGCTGATAAACAATATAAGGTGAAGCTGACGAAACCGAACTGCAATGAACCCGTTCGTTGTTCTTGATGAGAGCGGAAGACAGGCAATGGATTTACTGGATCTGGAACAGAAGTCAGAACTGAAACAGATCTGGATCTTTTAAAAATCCCTTAAAAAAATTCAAAGGGTTCTGAGTCTGAGATCGGGTGGTAAAATCAAGTGTAACAGGTTTTTTTGGAAATCCTGGCTGGTCCGGACCTGCTTGGTCTAGTTAAAGTGCAGTTAGGTCCAGTGACAGTGACTAAGTTGAAGGACTCAGTTGGGTCGTATGTCGTTATAGTTCTTTACAACCCCAGAGAACCTGATGGTCCGTATTTCCGCTTCTCTTTGTTTGAAGTCCTGCCACAGGTATTCAGGTGACAGAACCTTACTTGGCTTGTTTATCCACATGTACCTGCACACATACACAGGAAATGACATCAGCACATTATACATCCACACCTGACAGGTGCCCACTGCCCCATGTTACCTGTTCAAGTGACTCTCTTCCTGCCAGGCAGCCTCAATGCCCTCCTTGGCGTCATCTTCAAAGTTCTTCCGACAGGTCCTGGCGAGCTGGAGAACTTCCGGTATTAAGCCTCCAAATGCCCCCCCACAGTAGTAGAAGTCACCCTCATCAGGCGCCACATAGGCTCTGGAGGAGGTCCGCCGCTCATACGGAAACTTACTGCGGTCGTTCTTGTAGTAACCTGCAGAAAAGGAGGGAAGTCGGACATTAAAATCACGTGGACAGGCAGAAACTTGACTTACCAAGAATTCACTTCATACAACGATGATTGAATATGACTGAGTTGTTATTAAGGAAAAAATACTCAAAAGACTTCAAATAAAGATCCCATTAAAATAGCCACCCCCAAACTAAATAGAAATGTTGGTCTCTTCCATCCCAACACCACAGAGTTAAAAAAAAGAAAACTGGAAGTACTACCTGGATGGATCACAGCCACCAGTCCACCCAGTGATTCAGTCCCCCAGCGATCGTGAAACTTAGAGTCCACATCCAGACAGAAGATGTAATCCACTTTGTTTTGGATTTTCTCCTCGATCAGCTTCTGGATGATTTCCATCCGGCGGGCGGAGATTTCTTGCCAGCGATTGGAACTTGGTACCGGTTGCACAATCAGCTGATGGAGGAAGATGGGGACAAGGTATTTAATCACCAAGAGCGCCTTGATCTTTTCAACAACGTTAGGGTACATTTGCAAACATCAATGTATTTTAATGGATTTTAGTCTATTAAAGGGTCATAGAATGATTCTATAGGGTATTTGGTGCTGGTCCTTAAGGTCTCTGAATAGGGTGTGTAACATTGCTTGGGCTGAAAATGGCATATAAGCTGTTCTAGTAGCTCTAATGCAAGCCTGGTTAAAAGCCCTAGAATAAAATGACAGGTTTTCTTCCTTTTATGGTATGCTCATGAATATTTAGATGAGCTGATTGGTTGGTTTACAACGAGTGAAACTGCTGAGCAAAGACGCATCATAGCAACTAGCACTCACTCACTGAAATATCAAAATTGTTCATATGGTAGGGTGACCATAACCTGACTCCGCCAGATGGATTTGCTCCGCATATCTATCTGGAAACCTTCCGTTGAAGTAATTTTGGGAAGGGGCGAAAATACTGGTTAGCTGATTGGCCTATGTTGGTGATAGACGGGCCAAATAAACCAATCAGATCAACGAAGCATATGACGTACTAACAGAGCGACGACGAAAACACAACAACAAGCCAGGCTACTCTTGCCGAAACCAGTCGGAAGAAGAGCAACAACATCTTTTCCTCTGAGAAAAGCCTCCAGAGCAGTGTTTTGCTCTTCTTTCAGTGAAGAAATACTCTGTAATTCCGATAAAACTTGCTCGATAGCCACGCTAACGCTAGTTTCATCGGCTGAAGCCGCCATGTTCTTTAGACTGAACTGACTCGCTTCTCGTTGAGTCACACCTCAACCCGCCTCAAAGCCAACGCTGATTGGACGTTCGTTTGGTGAACGGCTCCAAATTTTCTTTAACGGAGAGTCTCCAGACTGATCTGCGAGTGAAACCTTGAAAGCTCGCGAGATCAGGATTGTCTCATGAGGCTAGGGTGACCAGACGTCCGGGTGGGAATTTCAAACTCGTCCGGGATCTACAGTGCAGCACGTAGTCGAAACACTGAGCCGTAAGCTCCGGGGCTGGTCCGGGAGCCAGGGGGGGAAGGAGCGACTGAACCAGAGCCGGTGATGGTAGCATGGACACCGGCGGCCCCGTGCTCCTCCCCAGCCCCCCTTCTCTAGCTGAGGACGGGCGGCTCATGGCTCTCCGCTGAGGTCCGGTCCAGTCAGCGGCCCAGCAGTCAACATTTCAAAAAAGCCCAGCAGTAAACCAGAGGGTTGGTCTGTATGTCCATTTCAGGGCATGACAAAAGTACAGGACAGAACCAAATAAGGCAACATCTCAGAGTTTACGTCAATTCGGGGCTTTGTCTGGATTCGCCCGTTTTATGGAGGAAGATTGGAATTGTGAGTTTTGCAGAGAAAGGAGGTGTCGATGGGGTTTGAATGTCTCTGCACGTCCATTTCACCCACTGAACTATCGTTATTCATCTATGACCATGTAAACTCGGTTTTGCATTCTATGAGCCCTTTAACTTCTGATCACGGTCTGCCCCAGATCTCACACTTCTGTCTGATCTGATCTCAGGCTAAAAAAATATATTGAGGGCACTATTGTGCATCAAAATCAATATTAAAAGAGATATTCTCATCTTCCTCAGCCGGCGATGTGTCCTCTACAGACACATGGAGAATCCCAACCGCTAGAGAAGCCAATTATCAGAATCTAAACATAGAGCTGGTGCTTCTAGATTAAAACTGTAAGCTTTTTCATTTAAAAAATCTAAATATTTTGTGATATTTAGTGGAATTATTGTGACGAAAAGGAAAAGCTGAAGGATGTTGGTGATGTGCAAGTTGCAATTTAAAATCGGATTATTAACCCATCGGCTTAATGTGAAGGAAGATAGCTAGCTTTGCTACAACTAATTTTAACCTGTATTTAAACAATGAAGGGGAAGGATTTGGAAGATATGTACAAAGCCTCTCTGTGTCCATTTATACATAAGTTGAGAGTCAAGAGCAGCCTTGACCTGCTCAAAACATCCTAACTCTTCCGTTTCACCATGAAGAAGGCGAACAACACATTTTTAACAAGCCAGAATCATTACAGCGACTCTTTTCAATCACTTTTACAATACCGTATTTTCACGACCATAAGGCGCACCGTACTAAAAGGCGCACTCTCAGTTATGTGTCCCATTTCTGTATTTAACACACACATAAGGCGCACCGGACTATAGGGCGCGTTTTTTATATACAGGTACAAGTCCTCTACTACCTTTAAATACCTCTACTGCATATTTAAAAATACAGCGGGGGCAAAACTGAGTATGACTGTGCTTTATTCATGTATTTATTACAAAGTATTAATCAAACCTGCGAGCTGGCCGTGAGACACACATCTCAGATGACACAGCGCTGTGATTACTCCTAAATTAACTTAAAATCCTGAAATCTGCCGACGGAATATGTTCGCTTTTATTACCGGTATCCTGGTGCCTGCAGTTTAAATTATTTAGATGAAAAACACCTGCCAGCCGCCGCGTGAACCCGCAGGCTGCCCAGCCTAGAGGCTGCTGATGAAGGGATTTCTGCTGTCGGCGCACCGCTGGTATGTCGGGGTCTGAGCGCCTCCGACAGAAATAGATAATCTGGATGAACTGACTGCAATTATTAAGTTTTCAGGTGGCCTTTCTCACTTAAAAACATATTAAAACTACTTTATTCCCACTGATCACAGCAAATATAGCTGCAAGATTTAGATTATTTAGATGAAAAACACCTGCCAGCCGCCGCGGTGAAGAGGAGGAGACCCGCCCACAGGCTGCTGTTGAATTAAGTTTTCAGGTAGAAAAATAGAGCGGGAGCAAAACTGAGTATGATTGTGCTTTATTCATGTATTTATTACAAAGTATTAATCAAACCCATCAAAGTCATCATCCTCTGTTTCTGAATTAAACAGCTGCGCTAAATCAGACATGCCAGTTTCCCATTCTTCGCTGTCAGAGTCACTTTCCGTGCAGCGCGGCTCCTCAGAAATAATGCCTGCTTTTGCGAAAGCTGGAACAACAGAGCCAGCAGACAATTTAGTCCAAGCATCTACAATCCATCCGCAAACTGTGGCGTAATCTGCCCGGCGCTGCCTTCCACTTATCCTGAAACTGTGGTCTCTGTCGGCCATCCATCGCTCCCACGCCGCTCGCAGCCTTACTGTGAACGGCCGCTTCACACCGATGTCGAGCGGTTGAAGTTCTTTTGTCAGACCTCCCGGGATAACGGCGAGCACAGCGTTCATTTGATTCACCTTTTTTTCACATCGGCTGTGAGATGGGCACGCAGCGATGGTGATGCGTGGAAAAAAACACCTGGTCTCCTCACATAGGCTACACCTGCCTCAGCCACGCTTTCATCATCTCCTCGTCCATCCAGCCTTTTTCATTTGCGTTAATATCATATGTCATCAGAGCGCTGTCTGTCTCGCTGTCAGCTCCCAGATCAGCTTCTCTGATTGGTTGATGCGGCGCGTCCAGCAGCAAAACTTCAATTTTTCCATCTCGAGCAGCAGCAGCGCGTTGGAGGTGCGTCAGATGCTTAAACGCTTCACGACGCGCTGCGCCTGCTGCTCAAAACGCGCTGCGGGACCTTTTGCTGCACCTATACGCGCGTCAACCATTGACTTTGCATGTAAACTCGCTGCTTCTGCTGCACCTGCTGCGTCCGGTTCACACCGATGTCGAGTGGTTGAACAGCGAGCACAGCGTTAATTTGTTTCCCCATGTTTTTCACATCAGCTGTGAGATGGGCACGCATGGAGTTACATATTAACAGCGATGGTGATGAGTGGAAAAAAAAACACCTGGTCTCCTTACATTCAGCCACTCCTTCATCATCTCCTCAATGAGGTGGTCTCAAAAGTCACAGTTACAACACACATAGGGCGCACCGCACCAAAGGGCGCACTGCACATTTTGAGGGGAAAAAAAGACGTTTAAGTGCGCCTTATAGTCGTGAAAATACGGTAAATAAAAATATTACTGTCAGACATCCAAGTGATAATCTTGAAGTAATCATTAAAAGAACGGCTTCCTGTGTTAAAAGCTCTGTTTACCTCTCTGCCGGCAGCCATTTTCACTTTTGGCACCTCCTTCGGCTGGTCGGTGAAGACGTATACATGCACTCTGAAACCCACGAAGAAGTGCTGATCTAGCGTCTCCAGGAAGTTCCTCAGAAACATGACGTACCTGAACAGGAACATGTTCATGCTCTGATCAATCAGAGGTGGTTGGCAGACAGGAAACTCAACACTCTGTTCTCTCACTCACTTCCCAACAGCGAACACCGTGGCAGCGATGCTGATGTTCTTCTTGTGGTAGACGGCATCCAGGAGAGTTGGGTTGAACGTTCCCTCCCAGACGATCGGAGCCAACCAGGGTGTCACCGACACAACGTCAGTCCGACTGCTTTCAGATACGGATCATTAGGGAAACCAGAACAATGGACAAAAAACAACAACTCAGCAGCAAAGAACGATACTCACCCCTGTGTGATGCTTGGCTGTTGGTACTTTAACCTGAAATAAACACAAAACCAAAGTTAATCTGAACATCAACTTTTAAATACTGCTCAAGCAAAGGAACATCCTCTGGCCTCTTTGCAAACTACTGATATCAACTGTTTCTTTGGAAATGTAATAACCTGGTTAATAGATTAATATTGAATAAAACTTGTTTTCCATCTTCGCAAGCACGTGTAAAACTACTGAGCCTCAGGAGACAGATTCTTCTTCAATAAAGCCGATCACACACTGTCTGATTTTTTGCCCTTTTCGGGCCGATTCTCCAGTCGTGTGAGAATTTTTCGATCGGGCCCAGTTTCAGCCTTGTTGTGTAGAGCAGCGGTCCCCAACCCCCGGTCTGCGGCCCGGTGGTTTGGCCCGTATGGGCCTGTATGTTTGGTACCGGGCCGCACAGAAAAAAATACATATATATTATTTCGACGATCAGAGTCTGAGTGATGTTTTATTTAGAAAAATATAAAAAATTGGGGCATTCTCTCCCAATTACGTCAGTCGGTGCATCTGTGCCTCTTGACACAGGTTAATTCATTCTTATCTATAACCCTAACCCGCATCCTATTTCCTGCGGTTAGAGCGACCAAAACAAAGCTACGGAGCAGACTGGACATCAGGAAAACACTTCGTGTCATTGTCTCCAGTTACGCCTAGATGGGACCGGCTTGTTTCAGAGAAACAAGCTCAGGGCTCCCACTAATTCAACATAATGGTGAGTTTTATTTTTATGCTGTTTGTATTTGATTTTATGCCAGTCGTATTATTTTATTTTATCATATTTACCCCGCACACTTTAAAGGTCGGTCCGTGAAAATATTGTCTGACATATAACCGGTCCGTGGCGCAAAAAAGGTTGGGGACCGCTGGTGTAGAGTGCAGATGGTAACGAGGGGCGATCAGCCTCTCACAACCACCAATCATAAGGTCTGGAGAAAATCAAACATGTTTGTAAGGCTGCATCAGAGCATCGGGCCGCACGGTGTGAGAACATTCATCGTGAGCTGTGAACTTTTAAACCCTGAGATTTTGTCGTACACTTTGAGCTGTAGCTGCATGCAACGATTAAAAATATCGCAGTGTATGCGCGGCTTAAGGTTTTCCCAGCTCTGAGCCGAGATCACAGTCCTCCTCTATCTGTTTGATCATATTTCATGTTGTATAATCAGTTTTGTAAAATCGATAAAGGTGCTTTTGTATCTGGATCCTTCCTGTACAAATCTTTCCTTCTGGATTATACCAGCATCAAAGTAGTTCCTTTAAGTGGCCAGAAGGTGACAGTGTTTCCAAAAAGTTTCAGGATTTCATCATCTGCCAATTTATTTGTTCTTATTCTTTCAGTAATACCTCTGATGATGTATGTAGAGGTGAACAAACCCTAAGTAAACAAAGGAGGCCAGAGTCATCACTGAAGTTCATTCCTCTTTAGAAATAAGTCGCCACTGTGTCTCTTTAATATTACTTTACATTTTATACACACATATATATGCACAAAACTATATACACACATATTAAACTCTATATATCTCTATGTATAGATACATCTATAGATATATATCAGTATTTATCTATACATCAATAGATATGTATCTTTATATCTATAGATACATCTATATAAATATAACGGATTAATGTCCCAGTTAAAGTCCAGAGGTTCTTCCTGGACTTTTACCAATCCAGTTTTCCCTTGGTTCCTGTTTGGTTCTTTTTTTACCTAAACATGTTGGTTTATCCACCAAAGATACTGATCCAGAGCTGATTTTTTATTTACACTGAAGCTCAGAGCTTCTTATGGTTAGTTCTTAGGAGAGACTACAGATAAACTAATTTAAATGTTTAAGCAACATTTGAACGAATCGTAAGCCTCTATCAGCCCACTTCTTAGGTCCTGAAGAAAGTTCTTGTTCCTTCTGTGCCACAAAACAAAACAAGAGAGCCGTTTCATTAATAAATAAATTCTTCTCTTAAGAAATCATTGATAAATATTAAATAAACTAAAACAACCCTGTGAAAAAAACAAAATATAGTAGATAAACTTTTAGCATATTTCTTTATTTAATTCAAGATAAAGCCATTTATGTATTTAAATTAAGAATTATTTAATAGAAGATTTATTTATTTTAAAATACTTTTATTTCACAATGGAATTTTATTCTGTGAGACTCAGTGAAACTACTTTACATATTTCTATAACTATTTCTTTTTTTTTCAGTGAGTATTTTTGCAAAACACAGAGCCACTCAGACAGATCTTTCCTTTTCTAGATTCATGTCTATGTTTCTTTCTTATGCGCTATAATTGGACAATTTAAAGCTAATTGTGCAAATCTCCATCAAATGAGATGGACATTTACACAATTAGCAAATCTACATCTCATTAGCATCCCCCACTGCATCTTAAGCAGTGTAGGTTTATTTAGGTAGGCACTAGGACCACTCCAAGATGGCAGCCATATTTCATGCACCCTAGAAGCCAATGCAAGACCTGCTCTTTATGTACATCAATGAGTACACCGCTAACAAAACTCTGCCTTATCATTGAAATGTAACAGCCTGAAATTTAAAACTGGGTTAAAGAAAAATAAAAGCCCTTAAAATGCAAGTCACAAAATAAAGACACCATTGTGAAAATTAGTCCTGATATCATACGCTTTAAAATAACATTAAATATATAAATTTGAAATACATTTTTAAATAAACAAATATTTTTAACATATATTGTATTTAATTTCACCGAAACGTTTGTTCATGTGAAGGGATATTTATTATTAATAATAGGAATGCTTTAGTTTTCAACTTTTTGAATAAAAAGGCTCTTGATACAAAATGTTTGAGCAAAGCTACAATACAGTTAGACAGGAAGAGGAAAATTGCTAAGATTAGTTGGGTGAATAAACGACCATAGTCGGTTTACAAAAAGTGGACCCTGAAAGAACAAAATAAACATTTAGAAAGACCTTCAGGAAACCCGAGAAATTGATTCAGAATTGAAACATGGAATAATGGAATTGGAAGGTAGAAAACATTGCAAGAAAAAGCAGGAAACAGGATTGTTTAACATTTTGGACAGGGCTATAAAATTTCCCCCCAGCAGCTGCAGGGGAAAAGATGACAGAGAGACTTTAATCAATCCCAACACCAAGCAGAGACAAGCTGCAGAATACACCATCTATCATGGGAAATATGCTTCTTACCCCTCTGCTGCCACCAGGTGCAGGTCGGAACTCACTAGGAAGTGTTCGCCCAAAAATCTGTGAAATATGCATGAACATCAAATCATAATGAGGGTCAAGCAGAGGCTCTACAAGCTGATGACTGAAAATTCAAGCAGATCTAAGCCAGAAACCGACGATTAAATTATCGCGTTCAAAGTTTGGAAACATTTAAAATTTACACATCTGAACATCTACTGCAGTGAGAATCAATGTAGGAGGATGGATACAATTTACGTACATTTGCACGTACGTATATACCTACATACATGCATATATAGTGAATTGAGTTCCAAGCTTTATAGAGTAGCCAACAAAGCCTTGTTTTGGCTTTTGTGTCATCGATAGTCGATAGAGTCGTCCAACCGCCCCACCTTACTTCCTGGTACTGCTGATCCTGAGGGAGTAATCCCACTAGATTAAGCTCGCCTCATGGTACAGGTCTCAAATGTGATTGGTCTAATTGTGTTTTCAATGTGCTCAAGACCAGAAGAGTCAAATAAATGGTAAATGGAGTGGGTGACGCAAAAAGAAAATGGCAATTCAAAAAAGGATTTGAACATGAAAGCCGAAAAAGAAAATGTAATAAGGAATAATTGTTTTAAATGTGTAATTAGAAAAGGTTCATCATCAGATTTATAACCTAATTTTCTTTATAAATCTCAATTTAGAAAATACTTGTTCAAATTCCAGTTTTCAGTATTGTATTAATAAGTACAATTTACGATTCCTCTTTAATAATTCAATGTAAAATATGCAATTAGAATTTTATTTTGAAATTAAATTTCAAGTTGCATCATTTAAATATTAAATTTGAAATGGGTGGTTTTTGTGTCATATAGTTCGTGAGACCATCCTGATCTCGCGAGCTTTCAAGGTTTCACTCGCAGATCAGTCTGGAGACTCTCCGTTAAAGAAAATTTGGAGCCGTTCACCAAACGAACGTCCAATCAGCGTTGGCTTTGAGGCGGGTTGAGGTGTGACGCAACGAGAAGCGCGACAGTTCAGTCTAAAGAACATGGCGGCTTCAGCCGATGAAACTAGCGTTAGCGTGGCTATCGAGCAAGTTTTATCGGAATTACAGAGTATTTCTTCACTGGAAGAAGAGCAAAACACTGCTCTGGAGGCTTTTCTCAGAGGAAAAGATGTTTTTGCTCTTCTCACTACTGGCTTGTGGTTGTGTTTTCGTTGTCGCTCTGTTAGTACGTCATATGCTTCGTTGATCTGATTGGTTTATTTGGCCCGTCTATCACCAACATAGGCCAATCAGCTAACCTGTATTTTCGCCCCTTCCCAAAATTACTTCTACGGAAGGTTTCCAGATGGATATGCGGAACAAATCCATCTGGCGGAGTCAGGTTATCATATTGTAGCATCTGTGGCGCAATCTGTATGGGTCAGGGATCCGCCCCCTTTTTAAAGGGACAGGGCACACTACTATCAGATTGAACCCGGGAGTAGGGCCTTATGTGCTGTGGGTTACATTAGCAGCGACCGTCTAGGTACTCCATAATTGTTACAGAAAGATCCTATTGATACAAGAGAAAGCTCAGGTCAGTCAATAAAATCAATCAACTTTGGATCCATTAATTAACCAATAACTTGCATCCACATTCGATTCTCTCATATCATCCTCCCAATCTGAAGATGGTTCTTTTAAGTAAATATCTGAGAAAAAAAAAGAAATATTTTCATCACTATGAAAGCTTTTGACAACCAAGTTTTTTTAAGATTTAGGCCCCATCCACACAAAGTCAAACCCTGGCCTAAATTCACAAATTTTTCACCAAACCAGCCTCTCATCCATACGAAGCCGGCATTTCGGGGGTCTGTAAATGATCTTTTTTTTATTAAGCCTTCAGAGTGGGAAGATTTTGAAACGCCGTTTTCGCGGTTCCATCTTTAAGCTCTGACCGCATTTTTTTTTTTTTACACGCATGGGTCATAGCGTCGCCTCTAAACACGCATGCGCGACACAGTATCACAACAACAATGGCGCCGCACTGTGTTGAATGGTTGCTGCTCATGCTGTCGGGCTTACAACAGAATCTTCTTCTTCTGGAATATCTCCAGGAAGAACAGAGCAATATCGACGACATAGTTCAGCACCTGAATTTGACTTAACCACGAAAATTGACCCGCAGGGGTTTTCCGGTTTGGTTGTTGTATAAATATTACTGCGCATGCCCAACATTTCGTTGCCTGTTTTCGCCTATTTTTGCTTTGGCACCACAGCGCCACTTACAGGCCTGGCATACATTTTGCAGCGTTTTCATGCATTCATGTGGTCGATCACATTTATTTTACGTCTCCGTCTTTAAGACAAACGTTCTGGAAAATATTAGCGTTTCGTGTTCGTTTTGACTTCGTGTGGACGGGGCCTTAGACATGGAGGAAATGATGAGCTACCGAAAAAAGTGGAGAAAGTAAAAGCCTGCATTGGGATGGAGTCAAACACGGTATTGCCTGGTATATTCCCCTTACGGTCTAAGGAGAATTAATAAATGTATCATTAAATATTCATAAACCTGAACTCGTGACCCCTACAAACCATAACAGCTTTAAGAGGCTTCCTATCCAAACTGTCAACTACCCTCTTTCAATTTTCCAGTTTTCTAGTTGTGATCAAAACAGTGCTTTGATGATGCATTCCTACATCCTCATACCTGCAAAACGTTCCTTATTTTATGCAGAAGCACCTGCAGAACTACCTGCACATTATTAGATACAGGAGTTCCAATCACTTCACATCACATGGCCACAGGTTTATAAATTGAAGCACCAAGGCATGCAGACTCATGATGGGAGGCCTCACTGAATAATGCAGTGGGTCTGCTGGCAGAAGCAGACAATAGATGGTCCCTGAAGGAGAACTTGAGATCTACGTCTGCTTAAGTGGATCAGCATCCTATCAGCTATGAAGATTTTTTTTCCCAATTCCCTTTAAGTTGAACTCTACTCAATGTTTCTACTGCATTTTGCACCATATTTTTCTGATCACGTCTGCATTTTATAAATAGAAATATTAATTTAAATGTTGTAAGCTTCTCTTTCACTGTTGAGAAACTGTATGCATCGAAATGTTGTATACACTCTGTGTATATAAGATGACAAAGTTTGTCTACGTTTAATGAGAATAAAATCATAATATTATGAGAATAAAGTTGTATTTTATGACAACTCTTACAAGAAGTACCTTCTTTCCAAAAATTAGGAATGTTCAGGATCCTTTGAAGGATCTGTTGCAGATTCCTAAATGACTTAACTTTAAAGAAAGAATTGAAAAGCAGCCCATTGAAGAGGACAGAAGGGATACTGTGGCTGAAGGATCTGAGAGGAGATGTGATCCAAGTGCAAACAGAAAGGTGCATCACTGTGGTCTTTATTTCCAACATCTGCAAAGGACGTGTTCATTTCCCCCCAACTCATAATGATAAGATAATTTTTACCTTGATGGACCTTTTAACATATATAAAAACACCTCTTTAAATTCGTAGGGAAGCGGCTGTACCAACCACTTCATTTCCGACTTATCCTGAATGGAGCCCGACTTTACACAAGTGAATTAAGTGAATGTGATTGGTCGTTTATCAAGGGGGAAAGATTGTTTTGGCGTAAGGTTTTCTAGCAAGTTTGGTTGTGGCTGGTGTCTCGGAAGCATCTTGCTAACCAGTTAGCAACTTGGTGCTAGTAGGTTCCCAATGGGAAATTACATTGGTGACCTAGAGACGACACTGTCAAGGAACGCTATGGACAGAGGAAACATGCAAGAGGAGGAGAGTTTTATAATGGAGGTCGTGGATGAGTCTCCTCCGTCAAACATACAGAACTCTTAAGAAAGCAGAAAGTTCCTAAAATTTGCTAAAATATTCTTTTCTTATTGATTTTGCAGCACTAAGCGCCTTTCTTTGGCGCAGTTATGCTTTAAAGTTGTAGGAAAGCGGCTGTTCCAAACGTTGCATTTCCAAATTCTCCCGAGTGGTCCTCGACTTTACATGAGTGAATAAAGTGAATGTGATTGGTCGATTATCAAGTAGGGGGGATATTGCGGATGGTTCTCAAGCAAGTTTGGTTGTGGCCGGTGTCTCGGAAGCATCTTGCTAACCAGTTAGCAAGTTAGTGCTAGTAGGTTCCCATTGGGAAATTCCATTGGGACCAAGTAGCACTAAATTGGTGACTTAGAAACAACACTGTCAAGGAACGCTATGGACAGCGGAAACATGCAAGAGGAGGAGAGTTTAGTGTCGGAGGTCGTGGATGAGTCTCCTCCGTCATCCATTTTTTATTTAGAGGAGGAAAGCGGGGACGAAGATGTTGTGGAAGAGGACGCCAGGGCGGCAGAAGCTTGGTTTGGTGTAGAAGGCTTCCAGCCGTACATGTTTGAGCCCTTGCCTCGCAACGCTGCCAGTTCTGTTAGCTCTACACTGAAGACAAAGACGTCCATCCCCGTGAACACTGCGACTGAACTCCATGGAAAAGTAAATGATTGTTATTTCAACCGTTGCGTATATTAGCTGCGACATATGAATCAAGATGCTATGATGGAAAAAATTTGTTTGACAGATGACCGTTGATATATGATTGGCTGAATTTAGGTGTTCAGGCTGATGTATAACTAACTGGAGTGCATGAGATAACGGGAAAAAACTGATTTTGAGGCAGGTTTTTGTTTTTTAATAGAAATTTTCTATCTTTTGGGACAATATCGTCTTATAAAGAGTAAATTTTTATACGTATATGTTTACGCCAGAATTATTTGACATTTAAATATTACTTCCCTTTGGCGTTAAGCAGAAAACTTCATATCCTGAATACTTTTATATAGAAACATTGCTGGGAATTTCTTAAAGAGCCTGAAGGTAAGCAGTTAAATTGATTGAGAATGTAGATATGCGTGTTTGACAACATTAAGAAAAAAGCCCTTTTTTCCAAACATGCCAAATGTGACACACCCCAGTCACTTTAGAAGTGGAGCTAAACTGGAAAAACGACCTGTGAAATTTCTTCCACAATACAATGCACCATTGATTTCCAGTCTGCATTGTCTCTATTGGAGAGAAAATAACCTTTTTCTAAGAACTGAACCAAAGATTAAAGATAATCCCTGAAAAACAGGTTAGGCTTGTTTCTGACCCCCCTTCACCTTCTTGTAACAACTGCATTGTTTGCAGGTGAAGGGTAACCAAGCAATCCGAGCTGCTATTGACTCCAGTAGGAGTTGGCTTTAAAACAAATATGAACATTGTGAGATAGCCTGGCCAAGCGGCTGGTTCTTCTCTGTTCTGAACTTCACAGATCTCTCTTATACCTGTTTGGTCTGAAATACAAAATGGCCTCCAATGGACTCTTCCATTAACAGATGTTGCTACTCCATTTACTCTCTACCTAGCTTGTGTTACATACTATAACTTTAAGCAACATGTTCAGAAAAAACACCATACAATTATCTACATACATAACATTGGCAAGGTCTCAAATTGTTAATAAAATGTAAAAGGATTTCCATCCCCCCCTCTTCCTCTGGTACCTTCCTGTGACCACAGCTCTACACAGGAGTTTCTAATTCAGGAAGTGAGGTCACACTTCCTCCTGAAAGACAGGCAAGGTAAGTTCACCAAAATAAAACACAAAAGTTAAACAATCAAACAAAACCTTGAAAAGTTATAACCCGATTTAAACCAAGATGTTATACTAAATTATCTGTAGAAATGCAAACATAAACAAACCCAGGATAGTATATGAATGCAAACTACAGAATAAAGAGATGGTTAAATCAAGCAAACAACAAAATAACAAATGTATAAACTGAGACAAATGGTGTTCTCACCCACTTTGTCACAAACATTAAAAGAGGCAGTCTGAACTTTGTCCTTTGGAACCCTTTAATCTTACAGAACACCGTCCAAACTAGTGTTGCGCCGATGCCATTTTTTGGCCCCGATACCGATACCTGGCTGTGCAGTATCGGCTGATACTAGGGGTGTAAATCACATCCATCATGGCAATTCGATTCAGTATCGATTTCCTGACCCAACGATTCGATTATTTTCGATACTCAAGAATACACCACGATTCGATTCGATTAATCGATTGTTTTTTTTTTATTATTTTTTTTTTTTTTACACCTTACAGGCTAAACAAAGTTTCAAGTTTGAAATAAATCAATGAAAGCTGTAATATCATTATGCATTTTCTTTAGAAACAACAGCAAATAACAGAAGTAGAAAAGTTGCATCAAAAAATACTGCAAAAATACTGCACAATATCAGTGTAATGAGTTCAATGCAATACCTCGGCTCCAGAGAAACTGTCCAACATATTTTTTTAGAATATAATAAATATACTCAGGAAAGAGAGATGTTGCTTAGAGAGTTAGACAGGAATAAAAATAAACTAGATATAAGGGAATTGTTTCAAAGGTCATCTGGGGATGTAGTTTTTGGTAGTATTTTTAATTTTCTAAGAAGAACGGGTATTTTAGGGAGAATATAATAGTTTGTCTGGTCCATACTCCATTCTGGAAGGTGGCGGTAATGCACCTATAAGTTGTTTGCCAACCGCCATTAAAAAAAAGAAGAAGAAGAAGGCTTCAGAGTGTTGACGTCACCGCCCCCTTGAGAGACGCTCCGCTGCTCCTCTCCCAGATTGTAGCTGACCGCAAACAGTGCACCAGACAGGAGGCCGGCTTGTTTTGTTTTTATGACCGAAATTGCGGAAAACAACTCGTGAAGTTTGACCCGCTAGAAGAGCGAGGTGCGCGAGAACGCTGGGATCCTTTTTCCAGCTGAATCTCCGCTCTTTTTGCCCTCATGTCCCTTCGTCGTCGGACTAAACTCGCCGCCACTTCCTCATCGCCTCGGCCGTATCTAGACCCACAGCGTGTAGCCCAGACCACGCTTCAATACTGAGCATAATTTAAAAATGTCTGTGTGAAGCTCACTGCAACACACTGCTGTAAGAGTATAACCAGGAAGCGCGGTAGGAGGGCAAAATAGGTTTAGCGGCACCGCAGCACGGGAGGGAGAATTACGTCCAGGAGCAAATGGATAAAAATAGACCGGAGGGAAAAAACAAACATGAATCGATTATCTTGCGGACGTGTCGATGCATCGGATCGTCTGCTTTTGGATCGATGCATCGATACAAAACGATTATTATTTACACCCCTTGCCGATACCGATACCATAATAATGTAAAATAATTGCCATCATGGCTTTGTCAAGCTGCTGCCTACCTTTGTGAAGCAGGAACAAATCTAATACAAAGTGAATCCAGTAGAACTTTTTATTGCCTACCTGGAATGGGTGACAATAGTTGAATAAACTTATGGCTCTCAAAATGGTATCGGTGCCCTATTTGTTGGTACTCGCCGATACCGATACCACCATTTTAGGGCAGTATCGGGGCACCGTCCGATACTGGTATCGGTATCGGTGCAACACTAGTCCAAACCCACCATGTCCAGACTATATTGCAGAACCATTAGGAGAAAATTATTTTTTTATGTGATGGGTTAGAAGTCATTGCTTCTGTAGAAAGAGCTTTAATTTGTCTGTGCAGATTCTTCAGGGATGGTTCCTCTCCAACCACTATTTGTAATGTTTAAACCAGATTATTTCTGAAAGATTTTTTGCATAGACTCATTGGCCAAGGCAGAAACTGAAGGAATCCCTTGGTTCAAGGTGCAGAGGAAGCGTATGGGTATATCCCTCAAAACAGCCATCCCAATCTTAGGTTCTGACCCTAACACAGATGTATTTTCTACTGTTTTCTCCCCCAATTTCAAAGTTGTTGGGAAATCATGTTTACATGTCAAATCATTCTGAATTAAACATGTATATAAATGTACTCTTTATCAGACCATATTGTCCCAAAATTTAGAAAATTTCTATTAAAAAAAAAATCGTGTCTTAAAATCTGTGGGGTTTTTTTTGTTATCTTATGCAGGCCAGTTAGTTATACATCCGCTTGTACACCTAAATTCGGCCAATCATATATCAATGCTCTAACCTGACTCCGCCAGATGGATTTGCTCCGCTTATCCATCTGGAAACCTTCCGTTGAAGAAATTTTGGGAAGGGGCGAAAATACTGGTTGGCTGATTGGCCTATGTTGGTGATAGACGGGCCAAATAAACCAATCAGATCAACGAAGAATATGACGTACTAACAGAGCGACGACGAAGAGGAGCCAATTGATAATTAAAACTCTTGCCGAATCCAGTCGGGAGAAGAGCAAAAACATCTTTTCCTCTGAGAAAAGCCTCCAGAGCAGTGTTTTGCTCTTCTTTCAGTGAAGAAATACTCTGTAATTCCGATAAAACTTGTTCGATAGCCACGCTAACGCTAGTTTCATCGGCTGAAGCCGCCATGTTCTTTAGACTGAACTGTCGCGCTTCTCGTTGCGTCACACCTCAACCCGCCTCAAAGCCAACGCTGATTGGACGTTCGTTTGGTGAACGGCTCCAAATGTTCTTTAACGGAGAGTCTCCAGACTGATCTGCGAGTGAAACCTTGAAAGCTCACGAGATCAGGATGGTCTCACGAGGCTATCCACGCTCATCTGTCGATCAAATCTTTTCAGTCATTGCATCTTGATTCATATGTCGCAGCTAATATACGCAAAGGTTGAAATAAGAAATAAAAATGATTTCCTTTCCCATTGAGTTGCGTCCCAGTGTTCACGGGGATGGACGTCTGTGTCTTCGGCAGGCGTAGAGCTAACAGAACTGGCAGCGTTGCGAGGCAAGGGCTCAAACATGGACGGCTGGAAGCCTTCTACACCAAACCAAGCTTCTGCCGCCCTGGCGTCCTCTTCCACAACATCTTCGTCCCCGCTTTCCTCCTCTGAATAAAAAAATGGATGACGGAGGAGACTCATCCACGACCTTCGACACTAAACTATCCTCTTCTTGCATGTTTCCGCTGTCCATAGCGTTCCTTGACAGCGTCGTTTCTAAGTCACCAATTTAGAGCTACTTGGTCCCAATGGAATTTTCCATTTGGAACCTAAAAGCACTAAGTTGCTAATTGGTTAGCAAGATTCTTCCGAGACACCGGCCACAAGCAAACTTGCTTGAGAACCTTCCGCAATCTCCCCCCTACTTGATAATCGACCAATCACATTCACTTTATTCATTTGTTTAAAGTTGAGCACCACTCGGGAGAATTTGGAAATGCAATGTTTGGAACAGCCGCTTTCTGACTTTAAAGCATAACTGCACCAAATAAAGGCCCATAGTGCTGCAAAATCAATAAGAAAAGAATATTTTAGCAAATTTTAGGAACGTTGCGTTTTCTTAAGAGTTCTGTAAAAGCAAACGAGAAGTTTCCCCGTCAGCTTTAGGAGTCCAGTGCACAGCAGGAACTGTTACTCACCCCAAGTTTGAAGAATCCGACGACTGTTCCTTAAATCTGCTGACATAGAAACCAGAAATCAGAATAAGTAAAAATGTGAAGAGGTACAGCTTTACAGTCTATTTTTCCAAAGATTAAAGATAAGGATCAGGTAGATCAGAAAGGAAAGAAGGAGAATTTTCAGTGGGACACAGACCGCTAATGTAGAAATATTTGGGAATCATCCTCGTTTTTTCCGGTCCTAAATTTCCTAAAATTTTACCATTTCTGGTTTTCTTCTAAATAAATATAATCAAGATTTGTTTATTTATAGTTTTTAACCTAAATGTGTGCCATATGTACTGTGATATACGCCTGCCCCCATGTACCACATTACATGACCAGATAGTTTTGTTTTATATGTTGCTTGTTTTGTTTTTTGGATCATTAGAAAAATCTAAAGAAAAAAAAACTAAACAAAGAACATCAGGAAGGGATGGAAGTGTGTGTGTGATATACATAAACAGCTTATATATCCATTAGCGATTTTGCTAATGGTTAGGTTTAGAGCTAAGGAGTCAATTAGGTTAGAGTAAGGTATGCATTGGTAATTATTAGTTTTAGGGTTAGGGCATAGAAAGGGTTGACACGTTTTTCCTACTATATATACTACATATAGTAGAAAAAACATGTGTGTATATGTGTTTTAGCAAATGTATTCATGATACAAAGTTAAAATTAGACAACTGTCCTCTTTCTTAATTGATTTGTCAGGGATCAATCTCAGATGCAAAGTTTGGGCCCCCAGGAATCTTGCATTTCAAAACATGCTCCAAAAGTCTGTGAATAGGTGTTTGGGGGAAAAGATTCTGTGATATATTGTGACGTTCGGCTGCCTTATATATCGAACATCAGTTCTTACTATCAATAAAAAAAAAATGAAAAAAAACATGTTTACCTTAAACAATGAAGGAAAATGGGTTACCTCTACAACGCAGCTGTGGCAAATAGCGTCGTGGAGCCCATTCTTAAAAATGTCTTTCTTGGCTTAAGGACATGGTGTTTTTCCTTAAACTTGAGAAAATTAAATATACAAAAAGAGGATGTACAGACAATTATTTCCAAAAATGGCAGTGTTTTCTTTCTTATTTTTGAAATTTGGAGCTCCTACTTAACTAAATATATGTGCCTGTTGCTGTATTTTGCTGATGTTTTTTTTTTTTCTATTATTATTTATTTTATTTTTCTGCTGAACATGTTGGGCTGAGACAGGGTGGGAATGTTTTGTTTTTATTGTTTGTATATGTAGTAGGTGTGACTATTTCAACATTTGTACTTGTATGTATATATTAGAAGTTATACCTGCATAAGTATACGTTTATCCAAAAAAAAAGGCGAACTGTATTCCTTATTGTGATTAACTTATCATTTGCTTCAATAAAAACAATTTGAAAAAAAAAAAAAAGTATTTCTTGACAGTAACGGAACAAGCCTTTATTTTCTAGTTGAAATTCTTGTATAACCTTTTCAAATTACTTGAAAATATTCCTCTCTGTCAGTGTGGCTATAGTTGTTATACTTTAATCAATCCAGTTTGTAAAAGATTTATGTGTAAAAACTGACTTGAACAGAAATGTCTGAAGGCTTCTGTAGCGGCATACAGGGCCCCATCTTTTATTTACAGTAAAATGATCCTCTTCCTGATATATGACGTACTTGTCTCCCAGCCTACCCTGAGGTAGGTATATACTCAAGAGATCTAGCTGCTTCTGGGGAACACCAACACTTCCATCATACGTCACCAAAGAGCATTAAATAAAGTTTTAGCGTGCTGCAAAAAAATAAAACCTGAACGTGGGAAAGAATTTGATAAATGTGTGTCTCTGTGTTTACTTATTCACTAAAATGCTTCAAAAAGAGAAAATAATATCCGATATAGATGAATTTCACAGATTGACAAAATTAATTTTTAAGTTATGGAATATGCTGGTAAAGGTTTGTTTTGTTTCCAACTTTAAAGACATTTCACTTCCCATTCAGGAAGCTTTTTCAAATCAAAATGTCAGGAATAGCGCTGAGTTAGAGGTTTTATACAGTAGCCAAACGAATTGGAACGAACGGGTCCACCCATTTGGTATGGGGGTCGTTTGGCTTCTTTTGTAGACTGCAATGCCCCATGCCCATATAAGGGTCTGAAAGGTCGGTCGTTAAAGGGGATTGTTGGCCCGTCTTAATAGACAAGGTCCTCCACTCTCCTGTACAGGGGGTGGGGCTACATTGATAATGGGAAGGGATTCCACCCCCTCTGTTTAAGTTTGGTTTCTCTTTCTTAACAAAGATGGCTTCCTTCACGCATGGTCCAACACATAAGAGCTGCCTCCTCTGTACAAAACTCTGCAGTACATCTACACCTTATGGACAAAGGACATTCCTTTGAAGAGCGGAATGTTCACATTTTGGACAAAGAAAACAGATGGTTTGAGAGGGGCGTGAAGGAAGCCAGCTATGTTAAGAAAGAAATAACAACCTTAAACAGAGGGGGTGGACTCAAAAACCTACAATGCACTAATTGAGTTGATTCCTTCCTGTTATCATCACAACTCCACCCACGATACAGGAGAGTGGAGGACCTTGTCTATTCAGGCAGGCCAACAATCCCCCTTAACGACCAACATTTCAGACACTTAGATGGCTATGAGATATTGATGTCTAACATAAGAGCCAAACGATCCCCATTCCAAATAGGTGGACCCCTTCGTCTGTTCAAATTCGCATGTTTCCAAAACAAAAACAAGGCTTTGTTGGGCTACTGTATAAAACCTCGAACTCAACGCTAATCCTAACATTTTGAATTGAAAACGCTTCCTGGATGGGAAGAGAAACATCTTCAAACTTGGAAACAAAGTCCAGTCGATCATTTTTATTTTTTAGTAAAGTTGTGGAGTAAAACTGGATCCCTCTTTTCCAGCCATCGAGGTGCTTAACTTTTTAGATACGCCTTTGCTTCAACACACCAGTGCCAAATAAAATATTGAGTGAACGGTAGGACTCTAATAGAATGGCTGCATACTGAGGAGGTAATTTGGTGATTTATTTAAGCAGAGATGAATGCGGATACCAGCGTATCTGCTGCTTTTCTATTTAAATGAATTCTCAGAACAAGGATGTGGTGGACGGATCAGACTCTTTACCTAATGCAAATCCGGCAGGAAGAGCTATAGAGGATGCAAAGATATTTTCTTTCAAATTTACAGGCATGTAGACAAAGCCAAAGCACAGGTCCGCCTTCTAGATCACAGTAAAGCCCTTCCTGCCTTTGTGTGTTTGTTTTTATTTTCTTTGCTCCCATACTCAAGGTTTCCTAATTCATACAGACTGAACAATCTTTATAGGCCAGATGCTTTTGTGTCAACAGTGTGAATAAAAAGTTAAACAAAAGCCAGTTCTGGACTTAAGGATTAAAGTCAGAATTCAAACAGGATGTTGACATGGTAAGCACATTTATTACAGGACTGGGTTTAAATAAAAGCAAATTTTGACTCTACAGCAGATCTACTAGCTAAGAAATATGTATTTTTAATGTTTGTAAAGGCAGACTGGCTTGCAAAAGTATTCATACCCCTTAAACATTTGCTCATTTGTCCTATTATGATGACAAAATGTATTTAATTGGATTTTAAGTTAAAGACAAACAATAAGTGGTTTACAAAAGTGTGAATTACAAAGACAATAATAGTTTTATTCGTTTTTATATAAATAGTTGAAAAGGCCATTGCAGAAAAAATATTCATCTCCCCTGGGTCAATACTTTATAGAACCACCTTTTATTGCAATTATGTCTGCAGGTCTTTAATGGTTTGTATCCGCCCCAGTTGGAAGGTTTTTTTTCTGCTTACTTCAACAGGTTTTCTACCAATATTGTCCTGTGTTTGGCTCCATCAATCTACCCTGTACCTTGAAGTTGAGCACTCCCAGAGAATGATGCTGCCACCACCATATCTGACCGTTTGCAGACATTTTGCCAATGGAACAAGTCAATTTACATTTAGAATAAGAAAATATTATTGCATTCTCTCATTTCAAGTGCTTTTTCTCTAATTATTTTATGTTAAGTGTAAAAATACTCATTCCATTGGCAAATTATCTCATTTACCTACTCAGATTAAGGGTAAATAAACTTAATTGCTCGTCTTCAACTGGTTCAAAATGCTGCTGCACGTCTTTTAATTGGCACACGCAAGTACGAGCACATTTCACCTATTTTAGCTTCACTCCACTGGCTGCCCATCCATCTTAGGATTCATTCTAAATTTTTTATTTTTTTTTAAAGCCTTGAATGGCCTTGCCCCAATTTACCTCTCTGAGCTTCTGCACCCCTACACTCCCAGCCGATCTCTCAGGTCAGCTGATCAGCTGCTCCTGACGGTGCCTGAAGCAAGGCTTAAGCTCAGAGGGGATCGAGCGTTTTCTGTTGCAGCTCCAAAACTTTGGAATGGATTGCCGCTCTACATTAGACAGGCCACCTCTCTGCCTCATTTTAAAACTCTTCTTAAAACCCACCTCTTTTCTTTGGCTTTTGACACCATGTAGAGTGTTGATTTTATGTATACATGTTGATTTTATGTACACACATGCATATTTTTATCCTGTGCAGGCAGTGCTTTTATTTTATTTTATTTACTTTTATTTATTTTAGTTATTTTATCTTTTTGTGCGGCACTTTGGAAACCTTGTGTTCATTTAAATCGTGCTATAAATAAAGTGGATTGGATTGGATTAATTTAAGAAAACTTTTACTTATTTTTAGATGATTTTTCCAGTGTAGCGTTTTGCATTTCCGTCAAAAAATTTAAATTTTGGTTTCATCTGACCAAAGTACATTCTTCCACATTCTTGCCATGTTCTCAACATGGCTTCTGGAAAACTTCAAACAGGACTTCTTATGCTTTCTTATGCATTTTTAATCAGAATCTGTTACTTTAAACAGAATTTAACACTGAAATAGATTGGCGACCTGTCCAGGGTTGACCCAGCCTCTCACCCATAGACAGCTGGAGATAAGCACCAGCATCCCTCACGACCCCACTTGGGATTAAGCGTGTCAGAAAATGGATGGATGGATGGATGACATTGAAATAGTAAGCAGGTTTTTATGGATCCATGTTATACATTGAATTTTTAAATGTTTTTTTTTCTTTTGTATGGCTTAATGAGAGCAGTGGGCTTAATGCTGACCCGCAAGCCTTTAAATCTGGGTTTGAATGACGACAAAGCCATTCTCAAGCACATATCAAGGCGCTCATTCGTGAGCAGGGTCATCTTTGAGCACGCCATTTCACTTTTCTGTCAGCAGTTCACCGCAGTTCTTCCAGCAGTCCACACTTTCTCTGCTCTCTTTTTCTTATCGTCTTCTCCTTCTTTCCCATCGCCCGGCTTGCCACAGGTTTGCCTGCTGTGTCTAGAAGTAGCTAGCACACTGAAAAAACGATCTAGAAATAAGAAAAAATATCTTAAATTAAGTGTATTTATCCTTAATTTGAGTAGGTAAATGTGATGGTTTGCCAGTGGAATGATTATTTTTACTCTTAAAATAAGATAATTAGATATTATGCACTTGAAATAAGACAATGCAATTGTTTTTTTCTTATTTTAAGAGTAAATTGTCCTGTTCCATTGGCAGAATGTCTCTTTTACCTCCTAAATCCCCCCAAAAACTGCACTTATTTTAAGAAAAAATGACTTATCTAGATTAAATTTTTTTCCAGTGCAGCAGAGACCCAGACTGAAAGCTGATTGGTTAATTTGGATCACGTGCAGCCTGGTGCCGGCGCTCAGGAGGGCTTTACCGTATTAAAGTGAAGTAAAGAAAGTGAATCTTGCACGGATCAAGTGTGGGGAAATCTTTTGTTTGCTTCTGGACTGTTTTTGGCTTCCAGCACTTTAACCAAAACGTATCCAGTTTGAGCAGCAGACCTGCTGCAGCATTTTATTTGCAGAATTTTGTTTCTAAAACAGAGTTTAAATCATGTTTGATTTTCTTTATACTTCACAACTTTAACATATATTAAAATGCTTTAAATAAAATATATTTGTTTGTGGCTGTAATGTGACAAAATATAGAAAAGTTCGAGGGGTATGAATACCTTTGCAAGCCACCGTATTCAGTGCATATTCCATAATTATTTTATGAAATGGATTTTAACCTTCTCTTTGGGATTTGCATTGTCTGGCTCTGCTCTAAAATGATCGGGGTAGGGACTGTGGGAGAGGCAGGTGGAATTGACTCCGTACCCTAAGGACATTGCTTAGTGCCTGGGAAAACCAGTTGCTGCTGAACTGTGATGGTGCACCATGTGTCATCAAACTGCACTTTGAGGGGCCGTTTGATTTCATTGCAAGAGGAAGAATGTGTTTGTTTTCATTTTAGGTGTGGTTGTAATAGCCTGTACCATCAGAGGGAACTTCCAATAGCCCTTTCGGGACGAATAAAGTTTGTGAATCACAAAAGCAGAGTAGAAGACAGAGGAGATCCCCCGGTGTGTTTAATGTCCTGCACAATGTGGAGAAAAGTGTGGAACGCTTTAGATCAAAGCCACCAAATCATACAGAAAAACAGTTCAGAATGTAGAAACCCAGAAGGAAAGGAGGGAAGACGTCAAGGCAGACAGCAGGAAAAGAAGGCGGACATGAGGAAAGAACTGAAGTTACCTGTGGAACCAGCTCCAGTGGTACGAGATTCTGTGGATTCAAACAGAAATAGGAATTAGCTCAGGAAAACTGCAGCCCATCAGATGGGAAGCTTGATATCAGATTTGTTTCTCATCACCATGAGTTTACAGTTAAAGCTTCCTAATCTCTAGATGAGCTCATTGAATAGAAAGTCAGAGATCCTCTAAGCTGATAATCATCCTGCTGTTATTTTCCTGATCAGACTGAACATTTTGTATCTCTGCTTCTGTCTCCTTGAACCCCAGTGGGCCTCAGCAGATGGCCGCTCACACTGAGCCTGGTGCTGCTGGAGGTTTCTTCCCGTTAACCCACTCTGATACTCTGAATCGTTTTACAGCATGTTTAAAATTCTACCACAGCATCACAACCAGAGTTTAGTCCAAACTTTATCTGAGCCACACCTAAACCCCTTTTTAAGCCCCTCAGAGGATTTAGGGGCTTTTTGAGCAAATTTTCCTACTTCATGTTGTCTGACAGGTTCCATTCAAGTCATTTAGATCTAAAGATTAAGCTTAAAACTAGATTGATTTGATTGATTGATTCTCCTTGTGCATGATCTATGTAACAAGCCAGGTGGACGTAACATCTGTTTAAAAGTTGCTGTTTGCGTCGCTCATACAAGCTTACTTTCCAAAAGAAGATTTGTGATTTTTCCACGTCAGACTCACCACCGATGAGTGAAAATGGGGACAAGCTCGTAGGACGGCCTTACGTAAACATATCACCAGAATGATTGACAATTAGGAGGACCACTTATTTTGATGATCCACCCAGAAACAGAACATCCTCCACTATACCTTTAAATACTGTTTATGATGGATTTATGTGTTAAAAAACACCAATCACACCACCTAGTGATCTTAGAGTTTTCTAAAAGCTCAGAAAACCAGTGGCTGCAGTTTTCAGTTCAACTTGATGGTAAAGTTGGAAATACCTGAAAGACGGAAACCTCTCAATCATGTTTGGCTTGAAGAGAACTTGTTTTTAGACACACGTTTTCTCCTCATATCTTTTTTACATATGTGGCCTGTTGCAGCCCAATCCCAAAAGTCAGAAACAAAGGAAAAAGCAGTTGAACCTGTCGTGCTGCCAGGCCACTGTTCAGTGTCACATTACACAAAACAGATGACAAAACAAATGGAGTTAATGACACAAGAATAAGCAAATCTTCTCCAGGAAAAACTGTTTTAACTTAAGCTGATTTAAGCAAATCTCTTCTAGGAAAACCTGGTCTAGATAGAGCTTCTCTGGGTAAAGTGGTTCTAGATAAAACAGCTCTGGGTGAAACCGTTCTCAGTATCGCTGCTCTAGCTGAAGCTTTTCCAGGAGAACGCAAACCTATGTGGAGCTGAAGTTGCTTACGGGAAGCTTTTCTAGATAAAGCGGTTCTAGGTGAAGCATTAATCCAATGAATTATTTTTCTCCCTAAATTCAGGTATCTGAATTTAAATTGTTCTAAATGTTGCTTAATGCTTGACGATGATTCACCCTTTTAACTGTTCTCCAAATTACGGAGCCCCTCTGATGACATGGTCAAAAAAAATGTTTAATTGTGGCCACGAAGTAGTATTTCGTGGCCACGCAATAAGTATAACGTGCGCATGAAATACTTAATAATATCAATAAATCCGCCCCTGTTTTCAGGCTTATGTTAACTGTAATGACTTATCTTGGACAGGCTGCTATGTAAACGGGCCGTTAGTCCTTCGTTTAGCTATGCTGCGGTTGTTTACACTGCGCCTTTTTTTAAAATGGCGTCTTAGCAACAAATGTCACGTGACTGGCGGAGACCGACTGGGTAAGCAAATCGAGCGCACCTTAGACCTTAGAGAAGGCGCGCTCGATTTGCTTACCCAGTTTTCCAGGAATGATAATAATATTATTAATAAGTATTTCGTGCGCACGTTATACTTATTGCGTGGCCACGAAATACTACCTCGTGGCCACAGTTAAAAAAATTTTTTGACCATGTCATCAGAGGGGCTCCGTACCAAATGGCAGCGTACGTTTACAAGAAAAAACAACAGACAAAATGTACTTTAATTAAATAACAAGAAGGCATTGAAGCGCACAACACCAAAGATCTCCACCCAATCTTGTTTTTAAAGTAAAATTTAACACTTCTTGTACTTGTGCGTGCAGGATTCAACTACTGCCCGCGTTGCAGAAATAGATTCCTCTGATCACAGAGAAACATAGAAAAGTCAGACTATGAGACCCTATTATGCAGTGATCTATATCAATCATAGATCTATGGAAAGGAGCCAAAGACTTGATTAATCAGAAATGAGGAACCTTTAGAAAGAGAAGTTTGTCTGTCAGCTCATCAAATGTGTCAACACCAGACAGTCAGGAGGACAGATTGAACAAAAGGGCAGTGAGACAAAAAAGAAACATTCACACAGTTGGTTAAGATAACTCCTGTCAAGGGTGAGGCTTTTATCTCCGTTCTCTGGAAAACTTCGCTCTATGAAAACTTCCACAGTCTTTATCAACAGGTCAGCTCCACCTCCTTATCGACAGAGAATGTTTTGGATGTTTTCTTTTGCTCTTATTATTTTCTGAGCTAAAACCAGTTTGGACACAGAGTCCAGAAAACAGAACAAACTCACTAACAGCTTATCATGGTTGCTTATTCTGAGAAGACAGGAAAATGGCGAGTGCTTAGAGATCACTGATCCCCGCTGATAAAACACTAAACTCCCAGTTATGGGTTTTACTGCCCAGTAGAATCTGCAGCAGAATTCAGAACCAGTTTTTTTTTTTTGCTGAAAGCAGCAGCCAGCAGAAAAAACTACGACAATGGTTAAATATGGTTGCAGAATGTAGACGTGCATAAACTTGTTACAGCGTGACACTAAGAGAGGCTTCTGCAGCCATGGAAACCAAAACGTTCAGCTAAACACCCCGCTCTGCACGGCTGCCGACAGTCAACCAGAAACCAGCAGAAAACCCCCTGAACTTCTGCTCCTTGGGATAAAAGCTTCAATCTTTTCAGCTGAGAAAACTCCTGATGAAAAAGACGACTGATTAACAGATCACTGAACTAAAACTAAAACTTAAAACCCGATTAATCCATTTATTCTTTAAAATTAATTTTCATTTCATTTCTTAGAAATATTTACTCTCATCACTTACATAAGTTATACTCATTTATGTTTTTTTCCACACTTCAATAGTAAATTCTTTTCATGCACCAGAATCAACATTCAATATTGTGTTGTGCTGTAAACTCACCCAATAACCAGGACTATCAGCAGGAACCCAGCCAAAAACTTCAGGTGCGTCATCTTCGTTTGCATCTCTCAGTCCAAACAATGTTGTTTCTAATCCACCTCAGGGTTGGTTTAAGGTCTTCACACCATCTGGTTCTGCGGCCTCGTTTTTGTGTGAAGAGAACCTGCAGATGTTTAGAGCTCGATTCTTCCAGCCATCCTGCAAACTAGAGCAGACTGAGTGTAAGAAGACTAGGAATGGTGGTGGCGTGAACAGCACTCCTTAAAAGAGAGAGGGGAGGGAGTTAGAGTGAGCCTGTTTATAACCAAACCTTTAAAAGTCCCTCCCTGCTGTTAACCGTGCAGATACCAGAAAGTTTATTTTAGTTAGCATTCGCCTCAACTTGTTTATATAGTTCTGATTAACAGGAAAAGTCATCTAAAGGCATTTTACAGTCACCTCTATCAAATAGTTGATCTAAAGAAACTCAGCAGATTGCACAGGGGTGGAAAGTTATGAATAACATTTACTCACGTTACTGTAATTGAGTACTTTTTATGAGTAATTTGTAATTTTCTGAGTAGTTTTTGAAATATGTAATTTTTACTTTTACTCGAGTAAATTTTAACCTAAGTAGTTTTACTTTGCTACATTTAAAACCCCCTCATGTTACTGAGTAAAAGAAATAAATAAAATACTGATGGTGAAAAAATTCAATGGGGCCCTGCCTTGCATTTACCCTTTGTATTGTCTCATAATCCAGTGCTGCGCTTTGGAAGATGGCAGTTGCTAATCACAACTTAGGGAGTATGGATGAGGAAAGGCCTGAAGAGGAAACGTATTCTGGAGACGAAAGCCAGAAAAAAAATTGCCCATATGTGGAAGGATTATGTTTGTTATGATGATTATAAAGTTGATGTGTGTGCATATGAAACATTGAAGTCCTGCTTCCAGCCAGTTAGACATTACAGGGTCATTTCAGGATCATTTCACTTTATGACCTGCATCCAGCTAGATAATCATTGCAGGGTCTTCTATCCTAAGGCTCCGTCCACACGAAGTCAAACCCTGGCCTAAACGCACAAATTTTTCACCAAACCAGCCTCTCATCCATACGAAGCCGGCGTTTCGGGGGTCTGTAAACAATCTTTTTTTTATTAAGCCTTCAGAGTGGGAAGATTTTGAAACGCCGTTTTTCGCGTTTCCATCTTTAAGCTCTAACCGCATTTTTTTTCTTACACGCATGCGTCATAGCGTCGCCTCTAAATACGCATGCGCGACACAGTATCACAACAACAATGGCGCCGTACTGTGTTGAATGGTTGCTGCTCATGCTACTCACCCTGCTGTCGGGCTTACAACAGAATCTTCTTCTTCTGGAATATCTCCAGGAAGAACAGAGCAATATCGACCACATAGTTCAGCACCTGAATTTGACTGAACCATGAAAATGGACCCGCAGGGCAACCATGTATAAATATTACTGCGCATGCCCAACATTTCGTCGCCTGTTTTCGCCTATTTTTGCTTTGGCACCACAGCGCCACTTACAGGCCTGGCATACATTTTGCAGCGTTTTCATGCATTCGTGTGGACGATCACATTTATTTAACGTCTCCATCTTTACGACAAACGTTCTGGAAAATATTAGCGTTTCGTGTTCGTTGGACGGGGCCTAAGACCCACCCATTTGCTCATGTTCTGTTAATAAAAGACTCTGCTGTTCTGTTGGGGGGCAGAAAGGTGCTGAAATGTGAGCAGGCAGCCTTTCTCCTCCTGCAGGAAGCTGTGTTTGAAAATCCCTTTGTGTGTCAGATTCATATTTTTGTCCTATATGAACTCACAATTTTTAAACCCAACAGATTATTTGCTTTCAAATGCATAAAAGGGAACAATGTGATAATGCAGTGCAACATGTGCCTGCCCAGCAAAACTAAGCTTTCGGCTTTTAAAACATCAACATCCAATTTACGTAAAAAATGTGGCGGTAAGTTAGTTATCATGGTGTTGTCTGTTGGACAGTAGGAATGAAAATTGTTTGCACTTTATGGTTCAGGTTGTGACAGTCCTTGTGCTGTGAGGAAGTACGTTTCTTAGCCCAGCTGATCTTTTGCAAGTGTGGATGTCCACTGAAATACGCCTTGAAATCGATTGAAACACCTTGTGCTCAATTTGATTCTTGACTCATCTTTTTTTTGGCATTAAATAACTCAAAGTAACTATGTAACTTTTACTCAAATTACATTTTAAATGAAGTAATTTTGTACTTTTACTTGATTAAATTTTGAGATGGGTAATTTTACTTTTACTCTGAGCAGAATTTAGGCAAAGTAAAGATACTTTTACTAAATTACAATTTTTTAGTACTCTTTCCACCTCTGAGATTGCATAAAGGCATTAAATGGCAGAATTTTGATTCTCTTGGGTGGATACTGCTGGGACATGATTACGATTTTAAACAAGGTCTGCAATTAATGAATAAAATTTTAATGGAAAAACACAATAAACAAACTTTTCATTTAAAGAAAACTTTCTTTGCTTCCTGGTTACCAGGCGGAAATGCTGTTTGTTAAAGATATGCTCTCTGTGTATGTAAATTGAAACCCTATCTCTCCGGCTCCCTTCCCTGAAAGGAGATCACTCAAGACAAACTCTTAAAATAACACTTCATGACTTATATGTATTAAATAACCAGGAAACATGACAACAGGTTCTGATAGAAATTGTAAACTTACTTAGATCAGAGAAATGGCTTAGAATTTTATGAATGTTCTTAGAATTACAAATTAACAGTTAAAAAGGCATTTATATATCTCCAGTCTGCCACATCATCACATCTAGCAGATGAGGAGACATCCATGGCTCCAGCCTTATCAAAATATTACACTTTGTTCTTAGCTCTCATTCCATTCCCAAATCTTTGCCACGTACAGAATAAAGATTATAACTGTATATCCAGACAGAGGAACTGTCTAAAATAGATTAACTATTGTGGAAAACATCAGTTCTGACACGCAAAAGGCTTAACAAACTCACACATCATCAATGATAATCATCCTAACAATTATTAAATAATCATATGAGCATCTTGTATTTAATCCAGTTGATACTGGATTAAATACAAGATGAAAAATTACTTCTCTAGAAATGTGAACTGTCCATGAACATTAAGATGCAAGGTTCCTGATGAGAGTCCGAAAGTACGACCACTGCCCACCCATTCGCCACTCACTTCACTGGCTTCCTGATTCTGCAAGGGTTTTTTGTTTTTCCTTTTACAGTTGCACAATTCAAGTTTTCAGTTTTCAAGTGTTTAATGAAGATAAATTGTGCCTTCATTAGTAGTGGATTAGAGATATACAGTTAAGTTCACAAGTGGGCCAATTTAATTCAGGTTGGTTCAGGTAGATATTTATTAATGCAGAAAATAACAATCTTATTGTACAATTTATTTATGACGCTTTATAATAATAAATAAGTGCCATAAAATATTTGCTCGCGTGCTTGCATTACTTATCTGTGCCCATGCTTTTTAAAAATAAATAATTGCACAAACATTTTTTTGCTCGCGTGCTCTGCGCGCTCGCATTTTATTTGGTGCCCTGTTGTGCCCCCGTATAGTACTGGGCCAGCTGACGCCCCTGGCCGCACCCTGCCCCATACATGCACTCCATAATTCTTCACCTTCACTAGACATGGATGCGCTTTAGTATATTCTGCAGTAAAATGAGGTGACTGTAACAGAGTAAACTGAAACTTATTGGCTTATTTTTCGGACTGATCCAATCAGCGCTGCTTGGATCAGATGCGCTGCACAGGATTCACAGCAACCTCCTCCCTAATCGCAGAAGTTCTAATCCGCAAATGATGCATGAATTATTGTTTTACCTGCTCGCTCTCATTCGCATTAAAAAGACACCACCTCGCAGAGTGTAAAATCCGGGATAATTTATGCGACTCGCGTGAATCAGTGAACAGCAGGGAGTCTCCCGGAAGAGACCTGGGATGTCTGCATACAATGTAGCCTGAAAGAGTTTTACACTTGCTGTAAACAGAAGCTACATTTCCATTTCTAATACCAACAAATTATGACAGTTAAACTCTCCATAAAGCATCGCTTAACAATCTTAATTCAATGTCCAGCAATTAGTTATTTAAATAGTTTTTGTTAAACTAGTTACTCATACAAATAATCCATATTCTTGCTCCTAGCTCTTAAAGGGGAACACCACTTTTTTTATACTTGGCCCTTGATTTTGCGTTATTACATCATTTTCTACTCACCCATATGAGTTTTGTGTCATTTGGAGCCGTTCTGAAGATATTCAGTTAGGATATATATTAAAGGAATAGTACACCCAAAACATGATTAGCCTTCATTTTCGACTCACCCCCATGCTGAACAACACTCTGGAGTACTTTTTTGATATCTCAAATGCATCTGGAGATCTGGGAGGCTTCTTGCTGTCTGCTGACATTCAAATAATGGAGGTCTATGGCGCCCGAGGCAGAAAGGTCCATAAAAGTCCACAAAAAACGTGTCAATATTCCTCCATACTGCTCGTCCAATGTATTCCAAGTGTCCTGAGTGGGTAGCGTCCAGAATTTACTCGAAACGAAGTCATTTAGAATGTTTTTAGAGCATAAACAGTAGTTTATAGGATTTCCTGAAAGCGCGTTCATGACACTACGGAAACCGCGGCAGACCAAACCAGATGAAAGTGCGCATGCAGCTCGGCAAAGAACTCATGCTCTTCCTCAACACTGAAGTCCTCAGACATTTTTCTTTCGTTGTTTCTTTCTTTGCACAGGTAAACAGCACATTTCTTCTTCTATGCTTGCATTATCGGCAGAGCAGACGCTGAATGCGCACTTTCATCTGGTTTGGTCTGCCGGCTTCCGTAGCGTCATGAACGCGCATGTGCGCGCTTTTAGGAAATCCTATACACTACTGTTTATGCTCTAAAAACATTCTAAATGACTTCGTTTCCAGTAAATTATGGACGCTACCCACTCAGGACACTTGGAATACATTGGACGAGCAGTATGGAGGAATATTGACACGTTTTTTGTGGACTTTTATGGACCTTTCTGCCTCGGGCGCCATAGACCTCCATTATTTGAATGTCAGCAGACAGCAAGAAGCCTCCCAGATCTCCAGATGCATTTGAGATATCAAAAAAGTACTCCAGAGTGTTGTTCAGCATGGGGGTGAGTCGAAAATGAAGGCTAATCATGTTTTGGGTGTACTATTCCTTTAAGTAACGTCTTCCTATGGAACTAAACTGTTCATAATT